CAACTTCGAAGATCTATCTACTCCAAGTTTTGAAGCAAGAGTGGGCGAAAATCCCACAATCTAAAATTGACGAGATAATTCTCACGATGCCCCAAAGGATCAACGAACTCCAAGAAGCAAAAGGAAGATCTACTAGATATTGATTAAATTATAAATATATCAATTCATGTGAATATGACTGAAAATTTTAATTTTTTCTGTAAAGGTGGTGTCTATTTACTTGTGACCACGCTGTATATATATATATATATATATGCTCTTTTAAGAACGGTGTTTCAATTTCCTTGGAAGTACTTCATTCAATGATCCCAGCCATCATCGATCATGCACAGATTGATGGACCATTACCTATCATTGCCTGGCATCGTAATTTCCTCTCCAGTAAGTTGCTGCGGGTGACGGCCAAAAGTCCAACTGCACATCGAATGGACAAGAGTTGGCAGTGAACCAATTAAAATAGGTGTTAAAGATATCATTTGTATCAGCATATATAAATCGTTCTTATAAAGTGTAGTTAACTCTCTCTCTTCTCTGTATCAGTGTGTGTGTGTGTAATTTATTTTGTTATGTTTATCAGAAAGTTATATAACGCTTCAGCTTGATGGAAATACATCAGTGCTGTATTACATTTGTATATGTGACATCAAGTATCACAAATTACATCAGTAAAAAACAAAACAACCTTATATGAAGTCGATTAGAGTTTTTCCCAATCATAGCATTATATAAAGCTTAAATATATTGTCCATTTTTTAGAAAGTTTATCAGCAGCTTTCAACTGATAGAAAGTTCTAATTTTTTTCCCTAACTTTCATTTCATAAATACTTATCAGCCTTTTATCGTTTATTGAAATATGAAGTGGTTAATTTTGATAGTGTTACATCTGTTTAAAATGTGAAGGAAAATGTTTGACAATGTTGCATCTGTTCGAAATATGAAAGGAAATGTTTTGATAGTGTTGTATCTATTTGAAATATGAAGGGAAATGTTTTGATAGTGTTACATCTATTTGAAATATGAAGAGAAATGTTTCGATAATGTTACATCTATTTGGAATATGAAGGAATATGTTTGACAATGTTGCATCTGTTCGAAATATGAAAGGAAATGCTTTGATAGTGTTGTATCTATTTGAAATATGAAGGGAAATGTTTTGATAGTGTTATATCTATTTGAAATATGAAGGGAAATGTTTCGATAATGTTACATCTATTTGAAATATGAAAGGAAATGTTTTGTTCGTGTTACATGTGTTTTTACTAAAGTGGTGCGAGACTCAGAAAGACTGTGAACGACTTCGTCTCACTGACCTGCTTGTGAAACCGATGCAGCGACTGACCAAGTATTCTCTGTTGTTGAAAGCCATAAAGAAGAAAACAGACAATGAAGGACAGTCCAGTGCATTGTTAGAAATGGTTAGTTTGTTTGTTATTTCAAGTTTCTTTTAGTCAGATGTGAGTTAGTTTATTACACGATAAATCTCACTTAAAGTTTCCATGAACATGGTGTTTTTATCAGAAAACATTTTTATTCGTTCATTGTAAAAATCAAGGGTAACAGCATTTTTTTAAAGTTTATTTCGTCTTCGTGAAATATAATAACCTTAATTGACAAAAATAAATTTCCTGAAAATATTCTTATTTAATTACCAGTTCAATAAAAGCTTTTCGAAAAATAAAAATTATGATGAATAACTAAAAACATTTTTTGGAGCAGAATATTAGTACAAAGATTAGGAAACTAGCTTCCTAGTCTTCGCACACAATTTTTTCAAGAAGTTTGTTTTTGCGTTAATTTAACTAACATAAACGGTAGTCTGTACTTTACAGTGTAGAGATGAATAATTCTGCTAGACCGGATTGAGAGGGGTTTTTTTTTTTTGGTGGAGGGCGAGAGTAGACACATTAGTCCTAGAATTACCAATAATTTCGGTTTTTATAAACGCGTTTTGCTACCAAACTGTTTCATTCATCAAACTGTTGTGGGACCATAGTTTCAATAAGCCTAATAAACTATTAATCACACGAAACACTGTAAACAAAAATACCACCAGTATTTTACACAGAAAATAAGTGATTTCACCTAAAGCTGTGGTCAATTTTTTACACAGACAAAAACATAAAATTGTTCAAAACAATATCATATATGGACCATATCAGAAGTGAACGGTATAAAAACGGTAAATTGAGGGTTTATACCCCTTATCATTATTGAGAGGTACCTTATTAAAAAGATGAGACGCTCATGCGATGTTGAGTTTTCCATGTGTATCTATTTGTAATGCGTAATTACTTTTCAATAGATATGTTGTTTTCAGAATGAGTGTGTGGAAAACTTCGTGTGTGTCGTTGACAGCACACTTCGACAGCAGCATGAGAGAGAGAGACTGGCGTCTATTCTAAACAGAATTGAAAGCTATGACGGAATCGAAAGTATTAACGACGAACTCGAAAAGGTCAGGTTCATAACTAATGTAATCTCTTCAAAATAAATTTTTACGTATTACTTTATCTCAAACAGCGAAGAAATATTCAGTTTAATTGTATAAACGTAAAATATGGCTGTAGTTTCGTAATATAAACAGTGTGTTTTTATGTCTCTTGGTGAACCAGAATAAAGTCAGAGAACTGAATTATTCCTGGCTGTTTTTTTTTTTCTTTACCATTTCAGTAGTTTTCATAGAAACTTATTGTGATCATGAATCCAAATTAGGAAAAAAAATCAGAAATTTTCTGTTAAAAACAGACATCAGTAAGTTAGTTCAGCTGTTTTTCAGTGGCAAAATTAGGCGAGCATTCGAATGACTTATTGGTTTTAAATGCTTAGGTACACATCTTGATGGTCACCACAATACTGGTTTTTAGTACTTGGAAAACTTGAACGTACATATGAATTTGAAGGGCCTTAGGAGAGATTAAGTGAACAGAACTCGTCTTATTAGTCTACTACTAGTTTGTTTGTTGTTTTCAGGGTAAAGCTACACAACTGGTTATTGGCGCAGTGTCCACCGAGGGGATTGAACCCCGAACTTTAGCGTTATAAGATATGAAGCTTACCGCTCAAACTCTTGGGAGTATTCTATTGCTGAAGTTAGGATGAAACATTAAAAAACTGTATATATATCTATTGGTTGATTTATTTATTTTTCTTCTTTATTTTCAGAAAATAATTTCCACGTCTAATATCATTGTCTGGAACTAACCTATTAATTACTTTAATTGATATTAAACTGTCACACCAATATAATACTTAAATATTAGAAAACACTATTTTTTTTTAAATTCACACAAGTTTTTATCGGTTGTACACAGTAAAACGATAGTTTAGTTTATTCACAACGTTTCACCAGGTTTACTTTAGCCTCATTTCTTGTATTTTACCTGATGACGCCAGGTAAACCTGGTGAAACGTTGTGAATAAAATCAACAAGTTTTACTATGTACAACTGATAAAAACTTGTGTGAATATAATACTTAGTTATCTTACAGAAAAAATGCTTAAAAGTGATCAGTTCACTTCGACAAGCATCAGTTTTAAGCAGTTGCAAAGGATATCCACCATGAAAGCTACTACTAAAAATACTTAAATGACGTGAGTTATCATCTAATTAATTTCTTTAAGAATTAGACGACTTCTGCAATATATATATATGCGAGTAACTGACTTAATCTGGTATTTTAATTATCTTTTTTTAAATTTTTATAATGCTATAGATGATGAAGGAATACGGTTACTTGTCCCTCGACCTCACGTGCCCTATGCCTGGATGCGGAAATCATCAAATTAGACAGCTGTTACTTGAAGGATCTGGTCTGAAGCTACGCGATTCTTCTTCAAATAAGGTAAGTGATACATAGAAATATCAGTCCCATTATTTTATTACGGTAGCATATCAGTTTTATTAAGTACGGTATTTTACTATTTTTTAGGTAATCTTCTTGGCTACCTAGGTGCTATAGATTACTTTTATTGATACCTTAGTTTTCCATTAAGGTGGCATGTAATCTGATTGTTTTTTATGGCTTTTCTGCACGATTTTGTTTTATCCAATGTGGTGTTCAAGGACTTGCAAAGTATAAAACTTGTTAAAGATAGGATATAGCTCAGTGCTAGGAATTACGGACTGGTGAATACAAACAGAGGAATGTTTATTTACAGAAGAACAAAATCATTATAACTTGTAATAGAATTTAATCAAATGGTCGAATCAAACAGAGAGTTGTGTTGTATCCAGTAAAATTCCAGAATACACTCTTGCTTTAATTTGCATATTTCATGCGACTCATTACATCTCCATTTTCCACTGGCTTTAAGTAGTTCTACTGTGAGATTTCTTATTTATTTGGTCAGGTAGTTTGGGTGCTCGACTCGCAACCTGACGGTCGCGGGTTCGAATCCTCGTCCAACACCAAACACGCTCGCCTTTTCAGCCGTGGGGGTGTTATAATGTGACGGTCAATCCCACTATTCGTTGGTAAAAGAGTAGTCCGAGAGTTGGCGATGGGTGGTGATGACAAAATTAGGGACGGCTAGCACAGATAGCCCTCGTGTAGCTTTGCGCGAAAAAAACAAACTAAACTAAACTTATTTATTTATCACTAATCAGTTAAAATAACAAACAAACACGGTAAAATGTATACTGGTCCCCCAGTGGCACAGCAATATATCTGGACTTAAAATGCTAAAATACGCGTTTCGATACCCGTGGTGGGCAGAGTACAGATAGCCCATTGTGTTTCTTTGTGCTTAACTTCAAAACAAACAAATATTAATATATATAAACTGAGTTCGTAATATTCATTAAATTCCATCATCCACCTATTATCGATCGATTTACTTGTAAACACTGTTGATATCTGTGGGAAATTCCAAATAGGGTTTAGTCATGCCTTTACCCCAACCTGAAATACGTCAGTATGAGATAGGCAACAAGTGTGGATATTTGTGGGAAAGTCCAAATAGGGTTTAGTCATGCCTTTACCCTAACTCCTCTGATTATTACACACACAAAACAACAACTTTAGTTGTCATTGTAAAATATATTTAAAATATTAATATTCTATGTTAATTTTTATAATTTCCTTGCTAAATCCTTCTCGTTAAGCTCTGGTTTAAGTTCGTTAATCGAAAACGTCTTTCTCTTTTATACTTAAGCTCTTCTCATCATATCCTGTAGCGATAATCTTAAACATTCGCCAAGCGCGTGATCACACATATATTTATTATTCATCAATAATTTAACGGGTGTGTTTCTAACAACCTAACAATCGAACCTATATTGGTGCTTTAATTATGAAATCCTGTCTTTTTTTTATACGTGAAAAACAAAAGTATTATATTTTTCAGGCTTAAAATACTCTTAAGTCAATTTGTCAATAGCTGGTATGAAAAACTTACATAACCAGTATTTTATATTTAGTATATGCTTGCCTAGATAGAGTAATGTCATAGTTTGTTTTGGAGCACTTATTTTTATTTGTTTCAAATTGCTGATCATCTACAAATAATTACGTACAATGCCATCTATCATTCTATTTGAAAACCACTTTTATTTAAAAGCATTTCAATACTGTTGGCCTGGCATGGCCAGGCGGTTAGGACGCTCGACTCGCAATCTGCGGGTCGCGGGTTTGAATCTCCGTCACCCCCAAACATACTGTCCTTTCAGCCGTGGGGGCGTTATAATGTGTTGGTCAATCACAATATTCGTTTGTAAAAGAGTAGCCCAGAAGTTGACGGTGGGTGGTGATGATTAGCTGCCTTCCCTTTAGTCTTTCACTGCTAAATTAGAGACGGCTAGCGCAGACAGCTCTCGTGTAGCTTTGCGCGAAATTCATAACAAACAAACAAACAGTTAATACTGTTTAATTCTTCTTGGAAATATTCATACATACTATTTTATAGCCATGATGAAATAGAATTTTTAGCACATTTTGTTTAAATAAATTTATACTTCATGTGTTCAAAATAAATAAATATGCAAATCAGCTATTCACACAGGGCTTGGCATGACCTGGTGGTAAGAGCAGTCGACTCGCAATCTGCGGCTCTCAGGATCGAAAATCGGTGTCGAACATTCTCGCACTTTCAATAGTGGAAGGACTATAATGTTACGATCAATCCCACTATCATTTTGTAAAATAGTAACTCATGAGTTGACAGTGGGTGTTACTGGCTAGTTGTCTTCCTTCTGGTAGGCAGTTCAAAACTAGGGACGGAGGCAGATAGCCTTAGTAGCTTTGTCATAAAATATAACGAACAGCAAGTTACGTGACAAGCACAAGCGATGTGATGTTGCAGTTGAATAGAATGTACCAGTAGTACATTTTAGAATTGTTTGGCGTTACGTATGTAGTGGAATGCCACCGAAAATTGACGGCTATTGGGAAGAACATGTTGCAGCTTTTTCCAAAGCAAAATATTCAGACTCATATCTTAAATTGTATTCAGATTGGGCATCTATAATTTCCAAAACAGGGATATTCCATGTACTTGTGTATTTCTGTGAGATTGAACTGTTGAAACGAGCGCTGGGACACCGTCATAATTGCATATTATATAGATTATCGAACGCACACAAGGATGACTGGTGTGCTTTGGACATGACAATCCTACGACAGAACCTTTTGCATGCAATGTAAACTACGCTGCAGTGCTCTTGTCAAAAATGCATGGTCATTAGATATAACATGAGCGGGTGTAGCGACATGGATTCTAACAACGTGGTGTGGCTCCAAAATTGTTTTAATGTAACTAATCAACCCTCTGTATTTCTGTATAATTTCAAAGATTAATATAGAACGTATAAAAGAAAAGTTATTTATTAACAGACTTAAACCAGAGCTGAATGATATGGGTTCAACAATGAAATTACTAAAACGTATATAAAAAAGTTGTTTTGACTAAATGAAATACTGTTTTCATTATGTGTTTTGAATATATATGCATTATATGATTTATTAAGCAGAAAAAATAAACTTTTCTGATTAACTTTAATCACATACCTATTCAAGACTTCTAATATATTAGAGTGTGATTATACAATTCTAAACTGGTATCAATATCATTCAATGAAAGAGATAACGGGAGCAACAGCATAGTTCCACTTACAAATAATTTTAAAGTAGTTTTAGTTTTTAGTCGAACTTTTTATAGAATTTCTGTGTTTACCCTATTCAACACTAGCATGATACAAAAGGCCTCGCGACATCTGGCTGTGTTGATCAGAATTCGTTAAAATGACAGGGCCAACGGCTTTCAACTGAAGAAAGTTTCATAACTTAGCCCCCAACAACTATTACACATACATCACCTAGGGTAGTCAACTAAAGTCCCTGCGTTCCCATTCACACGACATCTTTATTCAAAGACATTGTTCCTTCATATGACACGTATATTCACAGACATAAACACGAATAAAGCGTCATTGTTTCCTACGGCAACAGCATAGAAAATGAGACATCTTTCCTATAAACTTTTATCAAAAGGCTATACTAAATCAAACTAAATTTACATTTTACCGCGATATATAGTATTATTAACCCTCGTGAACAGTATTGTCGTCCAACGGTTATAATACAGGGCAACATTTGAGAAGCTTGAATTACTTAACCAACCAAAACGTCTCTAAAAAATTTTAAAATAAGTGAAATTCACCATGCAGTGAAGTGTAATAAGTTATTTTTTAATCATATAATGCACAAACTTTGCTTGGAAAGTGTAAAAACAATCGCTAATAGATTTTCTAAACATATTCTAACTGCTGTTATAAAAAAAAAAGAATATGTTACATCAGAATTTCGTGTAAAGGAAATTTCGACTTCGTGTACTAGTTATAATAATAATCCATGAAATTAAACCGCACTTTTATCTTTTCGTTTGCATATTATACTTAGCTCCATCTATATACATCTAGGTGGATGTACACTGTTTCCTATTTACGGACCTATTTCTTATCTGCAAGTCTCTGGGTAAGAAAGGGGACAAAGTTCGAGTTATCCGGCAGCCATATTTGGTAGACAAATTGAGAGTTCAGGAACTCAGAGATGGTGGAGGGTTTGTGGTGCTGTATCTCAGTGAGCTACAAGTTGCTGTCGCTGCTTTTGTACTTTACACTTCTGAATCGAAGATATGGGTAGACACGATACGACGATCGCAGGTATGTTTGGTTCTCAGTTGTGAAAAGGAGAGCATTATTTAAATATAGATTTTCTTATGAGTGTGAAATAAATTATATGGCATCTTTTATTACTAATTTAGTTTTAAAAAACACATTTAATGTGCTAGGTTTTTTATTCCTTCCTGCACTAAGAAAAAGGAATTAATCCTGTTAACTGTAATAGAAAGTAGACTCGCTCGAAGCTACGATACAAGAAAGAAAATATTCTTTTATTCTATATCTCAACCAACCAACCACGGTATCCAGCATAAAGTGTTCTTTGAAACATTTTAAGCTACTTTTTACTGTTTTGAGTGTAGTAACTCAATGTAAAAACCTATTTAGGAAAATTTGTACTAGAGAGATTTAATTTTGAATCTTCATGATATGTTTTATTCCATAAGTTTAGGTATTAATTATTTAATCTATAATTATAGTTTTTATAGGGTAAAAGAAGCAGGTACTAAACCTCGGAATTTCCACGTAGGCAACATTTCTTTTTGACTCTAAGTTATTTTCCAACTTCTTACAATGGTATTTCATAATTCCATACAGTGTACAAAACTATGAAATAGAGTTAATTAGAAACTGACATAAAATCCTAAGACAAACCTCAGCAACTAATTACTTCTATCAGCTGATAGTCAGAACGTGTCCATTGAATTCTGGCAAACTAATTCTACATCAAAGTATATTACACGTGATATGTAATTCAAACCATTTTTATTTAACATTACATATTAGGCTGTACGTTTACATCGAAACGAATAAAATCCGTTAATGTAGTTTCAGTACAATCTAGGAAGAAGCTTGTTAGCTAAGTTGATGTTGTATCCAACCGCTATACATTGTTGTAATGTTTCAATTCAGTGATCACTTTCCATTCCGTACTTCCCAAGCGAGAGGTCGTTTTAACCATAAAACATACAGACTCTTGAGTATTATCAAGTGAGTATAAATGATACAGTAACACTATCTCACCTATAGGATTTATACCAGGAAGCTAAGCGAACAGCCAAGGGGAAGAAAGGACTGGGCTTTCTACAAGCAAGTTATGAGGAAGAGGAAGAGTTTATTTCCGCTGCCAGACTTGGTTCTCGCTCTCCTCGTACCTCTAGTCGTTCCAGTTTGATCCATTCCCATAGTGGATCTGTTGACACGAGTGATCCCATTTCTACAACTTCAGTGTGTGGTCCTTCCACTGTAAGTGTAGACAATCACTATGTCTGTCTTTACGGTAGGCCTATCTCTTTACATTTCTTTCCTTCCCTGTACTTCTCTCCACTGACTAATTTTATCAAACTCTAAGTAATTTATTTTTCGCTTTCAGCAATTTTCTGAATTTTATTTTGATTAATTGATTTGCCACTTTCTCACAATGTTTAGATTGTTGTATGTTCCCGAATATACTCTGTAAGTAGCTCCCTCTACTTCATATTTCCACAGGTGCTTTTGGCTTTCATTACGTATTTAATCTATATATTTCTGTACCCTTTCGACCATAAACATCATTTCCACTACGTTTCTTTGTAGACATTTGGAAAACACTGGTATTTATTAGTCGCCACGGGAATTCTACCATCCTTTATTTTGCTATAAATGCTTCTATCTATTGTGTCTGTCTGTGGCTCTTCGAATAACGGTATCTCATTTTATCATTTTTTTTCTTTCTTTTTCAGTGGAAACAACTCTTTCCTACAGTAGAATATGTCTTCTTATTGTTATTTGTATGTCGTTACACTATGTTTAGCTATGTTTGTGATAAATGCATCTATCCATTACTTTCACTGGAAGAGTTTTCACTTAAAAGTATACTGTTTCCCCAAACATTTGGCCGGACGTGGCCCATTGGTTAATGTGCCGGTCTGTGGATCGAATGGCCAAGGTTCAAGTCATGATGCAACTAAACACACTCCACACTTTTTATTGTGGGCATTTTAAAAAAAAAAGTTACTCTCGATTTATTCGGTTCAAAGAGCCTGCAAACCCTTATGGCGACTGGTGCTGCTAGCTGGCTGCTCTTCCTCTGATCAGTAGCATAGAATTAGGAACGAGTACACCTGAGCCATAATGGCCTCTAACCTGTCCATTTATCTCATATGTACATAAAGTGCTGTTCATGGTGAAAACTAATTCTTCAACAATTATGTGTTGTTGTCTTTGGCCACTGTGGATCTCATAAGATTAAACTGGACAAAATTATCATGTATAAAATAATTTTGATTTATTAGTGTATAAAGTAAAAGAACTAAAGTACATTTTCATCATTTCTAACATGTTTAGTTTCTAGTTACTTATAATTTAATCGTATATTTTGAACAATGTGTTTGTTTGTCTTTAGTGCATATTTATCAACATCTCTTAAAAACACAATCCAAACAAATTTAAAAGTCAATATGTTCTACTAAGAAAAACATTTTTTTTCTAAGTACGACACTTATTTTTTTAGTGCAATAAAGCCACAAGCTTCGAGCTAGGTGACCTAAGAAATTCCAGTGTTAGCAGTGAAGAAGGACCAACCAATGAAAGGGTACGAGCAAACAGCGTGGAGACTCGTAATGGGCCAATCAGTGTGACGGTGACATCTCCAAGACCAGAAAGAAGAGCATTCTTCTTACGTGGGGCAGGTTCAGGGTCTTCCACCCCCAACACCTTATCTGTAGGACCTGCCTACCATATGGGTGACTTAGGGGAACTAAAAGAAAACGAGATGGTTCATCCACCTCCTTCCATACAGGTTAAATATATTTTCATATCTGAATGTCTAGGAGTGAAACTACTGAACGAATTTTTATACCTTATTTGTGCATATGCTCAAAAGTGTAATGAATATTGAACGCAATGGTGTCATGTCCATGGACCAGGGGTGCGCACGGGCCCCCCTCAAATGTTCTCTATGCACTGTTTTATTAATTCCAAATCCATGTATAAACATTTGATTAAATATTTTCAAAATACTTGCCTGTATTGGAAACCAATAAGTAAATCAAATTAACAGAGGAAATTTAATAATATAAAAGTAAAAGGCACCCCACTTATTATTTGTATGATTATTATTAATAACTCACCACTGACTGTGTCCCCCAAAGCATTTAGCTGCATGACGTCACTGATTGAACGTACTGTGGCAAGCAAAGGGTTCGACTGCTTTCTTATCATTTAGATACATAGAGGTTGAGTATATTATATTAAAACGGTTTGGAGCCTCACCACATCGTTACAGTCCATGTCACTACGTCAAGTCATGCTCTATCTGACGACGATGTCTTTTGACAATAGTCATGCAGCACAGTTTCCATTGCAAAAGGCTTCATCTTCATATCCAAAACACACCACTTTTCCATGTATGTTTTCCATACTTTATCTAGTGTACGAGGACAGCGGTTTACAAGCGCCCATTTCAGCATTCCGATCGTATAAAAATCCATAACAGTTGCGTCCAAATACTTAACTGATGTGTATTCGTATGGAATAACATTGATATCCGTTTTATTCTCCATCTGTTTGAGGTATGCGACGACTGAACGGATATGTTGTGGACGCAACTTGTATACACGTGACTTGTATCGCTTTTCCACACGGAAATATTTCTTATTTTGCACACTATTTCCTCGGACAGGTGGACGGCTTACACCACTGACCTTTGTGTTCGTGAATTCTCACCTGTTACGAGACGTCACACGCTGCTTACCACTGCTGGGGAACGACTTGTTGCAGGTCTGTTTCCGTTTGGTTCCTGTATCTCAAGTTGATCCACATTAATTTGTTTTAGGTTGCCATTAAGTACAAAGGGTATCCCCATCTTGAAAAGTCTAAATTCCTCGTCTGAACACATCTTTATGGTCTAAGTCTATGCGTCGGAAAGGGCTGTTACATATAATTACCCAAAGCGATCACTTTTTGGTGAATTCATACTAACTACGAAGAGCCAATGTCAGAATGTAGTTCTGATACATTTCATCCCACTGCGACTGTGATTGTCACTTGACTTGATGATTTGATTATTCAAAATCTTTTTAATATAACGCATTCAACCCTCTCTACCTTTGACTTGTAAGTCTGCAGTAAAACATAGCTTGAAATTAATCCCCAAAATATCTATAAAAACAAGGGTACCCAACTGATGAGGTAATACATTCTAGTGACACTACACACTCCTAATTAGACTGTCAGATTAAATTAACTACATTATTAGTTATTTGGTTGTAGTTTAGTTGTGTTCTTTGTAGATAGCTTGCTTTGATCCGAAGTTATTGATGTTTGAACCTCTGGTCTTTAGCTAAGAAGTCCAACTAAATATATGGATAGCATATTGATAAACATTAAGTTATGTTCAGATAAAAGTAGGCAGTTGACAACAGTACTGATGGCAAATATAGTTAAAATCGCATAGGCGACGAAAATAACAAAATTAAATAATAGGTTGAACAATCGCCAAGTTTTTATGTTTTTATTTTTTGTTTTGTTTTTTTATTTAAAGAAGGATGACGTTTCCAGCTAGCGCTCTCCGTCAGATCGTACAGCTTACAACCAAATAAAAATATATATAAAACTTGGCGATTGTTTAACCTATTATTTAATTTTTTAACGGTACTGATGACGTTGATAAGTTTTCAATTTAGGAAATTGACAAGGCAAAACCTAAAACATCAGTAGCCAAACTTCATTGTTTGAAAGGTTTTACGATTCATTTTATTGTAAAAGGGCAAATTCTTCTGATTGATTTTAATTTCCGACTAGTATAAGGGGTACGTTTTGAAAACTCTGACAATTATTTCATTATTTTCCATGACAATAACGTTATCTTTATTACATTTGAATCCTCGGTTATGTTGGTTGAATTATGAATCTAAAGAAAAAATAAAGTGACACGGAAATCACTTTATTCAAAATCACCACCCTAATGACTTGATGTCACGAATCGTGTTAATAGTTGTACGATCAGAGTTGTTAAACTTATTTGACTAAAACACTTTTCATTTGAAAAATAGCCAAGTTAGAATAAAAGAACTAGTAGCAACATAAATAAAGACGAGGCGAAGTTTGCTCCAATTATATTTTGTTTTAATTTAGCCACTTTTGCATTATATCTTTAGATGTGTTATATAACTTTTTTTTTTTAAATATTATATGTTTACAATGCGTGGCATTTTATGTAACTTGACTCTTTTTTTTTCTAATATCAGATCTTTATATGGCTGGTCTATTTAATCTGCTGGGTTGTTTTTTACATGTAGTGTTTTGGTGAAATATCACTACTTTTTATTTTAAATTACAATTTTATGCGACACAAAGCTTGATTTTAACGTAATGTATTTATCAATTTTTTATATCAAACTTTTTTTAGCTAATTGTGGACTTATTTTATTAGCTGATCTGAAGGATGAAAAATATTTAAATAAATTTTTCTTTAATCATTGAAATGAACTTAATATTTGATGTGTATAATCGTTTTAATTTGATCAAAGAAGTATTAATACAATTTAAAGTATTATTGAATAGATGGTCATGTCATCTTTTCGATAATGCTGTTATTAATATTAATAACTTTATAGGGTGTCGAAGAGAAAACTGATTTTAACAGTATATTAATAACTTCAATACATCGTAGAGAATTGCAAACAACAGCATTTCTAGCTCAGATTAGTCTGTCCCTTTGTAGTATGTAAACCTTGATTTACTGTCTTCTCAACAACAGCATCAACGAGAGCAATACTTTCTACTACTTTTTTGAGTGGCTATTTCCCTTGATCTATGAAATTATTTTTTATTTGTGATGTTAGAGTGTTTAGTCTCGTTCAGAAACATAATAATAGTGAACTTATGTCACTTTGAAAAACTATGACAATATCTCAGAATTGACCAAAAGTTCGATCTTATACATAATATAACAGTAGTGCCATTTTTCTAATTTGGCTGGAGTCACTGTCGTGGCTCTAGATGAAAAAGTGTTTCTTTACATCTAGGTACCGTTAATTTCACCATTAGCCAAGAATGTTTCTCCCACTTCACGACTACCAGTTACTTCGCCAGTTTCTCCTCGTGTAGCATCCCGTCACTGGTACTTCGGTAATAAACCGCCTCTTCTGAAGACAAAGAATATATCGGGGCTTGTGACACACAGTGCCCCGACGAGTCAGGGCCCCAGTCCCGTGCATAGCTTCGATAGTGACACTGTAGTCGGAATAACCAGCTCTGAGAAGAATACGCCAGACTCTGAAGACGAAGAACATAAGAAATTGCCCATAAAGCAAGCTACGCGAACAGCTTGGCGGTACCATACTGCTGACTCTGTGGAGATGTTGAAAAAAGAAAGAGAAAAAGATCAGAATTTCCATAAACGATTATCATGGAATCCAGGACAGCACGACAGTTGTCGTAGTGGACAAGTGGGAGAAAGCACCCGGGACAAAGTCCTTCGAAACAAAGTTGTCGACAAGTGCTTTAGTTCCGATTCAATGTATAGTTCCAGTGGTGTAAGCAGTACAGGATCTGCACAACTAAGTGTGTGTAGTGTAGAGTATGAACCTAGTTTTGAAGGTTCAGATATTTCAGAGGATCCACTAATTCGAGAGCGAGATTATTACGATCAAACAATCCTGACTAATAGTCAACACAGTGATGACCACCTACAGCTTCCAACAGTCCTACTGGAGGGGGAGTGCGACCTCAGTCGAAAACCAGAAGGCGGGAAATCAGCTGTCCAGATTGCTGTCAATCAAGATTCATCACAAGAAATACCTTCTATGGCGAAGCTACACAAGGTGAAGGACTTTCTCCTCAATAATTGGTCAGGGGAATCTTCGTAAGTAGCTACATTTTTCTCAGGTTGAAATCAACCAAACTGCATGACCAATTATACGAAATGTTAATATAATGCTCGTTTAATATACAATCGCATTTCTCTCAAGTTGAAAACATCAAAACTAACTGTAGTGAATGTTGAGGTAATCCTAGTTTAGTAGGTACACTTCTGTCACGTGGAAAACCACCAAACTGCATGCCAAACTGTAGTGAATGTTGATGTAATCCTAGTGTAGTAGATACACTTCTATCATGTGGAAAACAACCAAACTGCATGTCCAGCTATAGTGAATGTTGATGTAATGCTAGTGTAGTAGATACACTTCTATCATGCGGAAAACAACCAAACTGCACGACCAGCTGTAGTCAATGTTGATGTAATCGTAGTTTAGTAGATACACTTCTATCATGCGGAAAACAACCAAACTTCATGTCCAGCTATAGTGAATGTTGATGTAATCCTAGTTTAGTAGATACACTTCTATCATGTGGAAAACAACCAAACTACATGTCCAGCTACAGTGAATGTTGATGTAATCGTAGTTTAGGAAATACACTTCTATCATGTTCAAAAATAACCAACTTTAGTGAGTGTCAAAGCCTTTTTTTTAATATATTCACTCTTTTATTGTTCAATATAACCAAACTTCATAACCCACGGTAGAATCTTTAGTAGATGGACTTCACTCATTGGAAGTTTTTAAATTGTACCACCATCCTTTTAATTACGTCCAGTAATTACATCGGTAGTTGGATTACATTTAACATGTCTAAGTTTCGGTTATAATTTCATTACCTGAATCTACTGACTCTAGCGATAATGTTGGTACTGAATATACAGCAATCACGACAATTGGTAGGCTACAGTTAACATCCGATAATGTTGGTATTGAATATACAGCAATCATGACAATTGGTAGGCTACAGTTAACATCCGATAATGTTGGTACTGAATATACAATAATCATGACAATTGGTAGGCTACAGTTAACATCCGATAATGTTGGTACTGAATATACAGTAATCATGATAACTGGTAGGCTACAGTTAACATCCGATAATGTTGGTATTGAATATACAGCAATAATGACAATTGGTAGGCTACAGTTAACATCCGATTTTCTGTACTCCTGTACGTTTCTGTCAATAACTTATATTTTTTTAATATGACTAACTACATCTCTTACTGTGTTTAGTTTTAGTAATGAATATTGTTGGTTGGTTATCTCCTAATTAAACAAAACGTCAATTCATTGTGATCTTGCTCTGAATGAAACAAACTGTCTATTGGAATGATCTCTTAAAAAGTAGTGATATACAATGAAACATGATATTTTATAGGAAATTTTATTTCACCAGCTAGGTTGTAATTAATGTTGATTAGAAATGCATTGTAGTATCTATGTACGTACTAATTTTGGTCTGTACTTTATCTAGTGATGTTTGAAGATCATCACTATTAGTTGGTGGAAAATGTTCAAGATGACACTCGGAAAAGTTTTGCTTGCTGGTTTCCTCTTCTAAAGAACGGGAGTGCAATATAATAACAACTTAATGAACCAAACGCCAGTTTTTTTTTGCAAAGTACATGGAACTGCATGTATTTGGTAACATGGAGAACACGAACTATGTATGTATTTTTAACTTGCACGAGAACATCAACAGTAAAAATGGCGGGAAACCTAAAGACTTCCACGGTCTATCAATTAATCAGCCTACAGGCAGCTCCGAAATATTTATCTTACCTTTGTGACCAGTGTACAGTTATTTGTGACTGTATTAGAAGGAAGAGGTATTTGTAATAAGTTAATGTCAGTAGCGTTGTACCAACAGTTGGTTCCACGTTTAATCTTCAGTAATTTTCTTGTTTTAAGCAATGCACCAAATGAAACTTTTTACACTTTAACAGTGTGTGTGATTCTCTTTTTTCTCTTTTGTTTTTCACTCAAAATGATCTTAAATAGTGATGTTATTATAACTGATCAACTTCTTTACTATACGTAATTTAAAGTGATCAACTTCGTTTTTTATTACTATAACTAAGGAGTAGTATCTAATTTATTGATTTAAACCATTTAGAGATTTGATATTCTTATATCTAAATTAAATTCATTGTAAATCTGGTATTTTTGAGTGTGGTTGAAAATCTGTGTTTTATTGAACTGTTCGGAACTAGCCAGTATTGAGAATGTCACAGTCGCACCCTCTGTCTAGTTTAATTTAAATGTGGAGAAAACCCGAAACGAGTAAAGTCGAACAAAAGAATTATTATTTTCTGTTTAATAATTTATGTTATATATATATAACATTTCCTCATTAACTTATATTCGTTATATTTTTACGTGTTCATATTAGTCAAATCAATTACCTCTGTGTTTCTAACGTATAAATACAGAGTATCGTTCTCTACGCTGATCTTTTTTTTTTTCTTTTTAGATTAATTCTTATGCTGAGAATGTTGTGATTTTAATTTTTCTATTGGTTTTTATTTTTCTAACAGCGGAAAGCTCCCTAATATCAGTACTTAACTGTGTGATTTTGTGTCTGTCAAAAACTGTGAAAAATTAGATGTTGTATGTTAAGTTGAAGAGAAGATAAGTTATCAGAAACCGAGAGTTTGTCCTGAGTTGTATAAGTTGTAAGTGGTAGATGTTTCACTTAAATCGGAGTATGGTGTTTCTGGACTTGTAGTAGGCTATGTTCACAAACAAAATACAAGTAGTTAGTTTGTTTTTCTAACTATCAAACTAAATCTGTGTTCGAATTATGCATGTTAAATAAAGAAAAAAAAAGAGCTCGAGCGTTCAGGCTTAGAAGGAAAATGTACATCTATACAGTTAGCAGAGGGTCGGGAAGTTGCTGATAAAAAAAACTTCATAGGGGCGTATTTGTTTTGTATTTAGTCTGTAAACGTATGTGGTGCTATAATTATAGTGATATGTCGTGTGTGTGTTTGTCAGAAATCGCTAGATTATTATGGTTAACCTGTACTTCTATATTTCTAATCTGACAAGATAACGATATATGAGGCTTAAATATATCAGAAAGTTTTCTGACAACAGTTGTTGATAAGACGATTTGTGATATTAGACTCAACCACAATAAGGGCATTACCTTTACAGTGGTGAAGAAGAGGAAAAACGCTTGTACTTTGGGAATCTTTTTCATAAAATAGATTTTACTTGAACATTTCACAATTATTTTTTAACTGTGTATTCTCAAGGTAGATGTTAACAATATACAAAACAAACTTAGTAAATTATGACTTTCCCTTCAATAGTTACATCTGTTAAGCCTGATGTAAAATCAGCATCAAAAATAAATCTAGAAAAGAATCATGTTCCTTCAATAGTTACATACACTAGGCCTAAAACGTTATATTTAAAATCTATAACTTATTGAATATTTTAGCGAACATTTAAGATGGAAATTTATAGTTTTGATAAAAGTTTAGAAAAACAACCTTTACACTCCAGATAAATATAAAAGAATATTATTTTATTTCAACCAACGTTTCGCCTTTGCGGCTTCATTAGGGATAATATACATAACCCTGATGAAGCCGCAAAGGCGAAACGTTGGTTGAAATAAAAATATATTCTATTTTATTTATCTGGAGTGTAAAGGTTGTTTTTCTCAACATTTATAAAAATGTGCAAATCCCTTCAGTATGCACTACACATTTTGGAAGGAAATGTATCGTGATATGAAAATCAAATCAAGGTATTTATCTGGACTGTATTTCATACAAATAATGAATTTTTCAAATCGGTTGCAGTCGACAATGTTTAGTCCTAGAAGTTGTGTGTTAAAACTATTTAACTGCTGTGTAGTTTTTATGAAAGTTACACGTCGATTGAATATGATAAATCACTGTTGAAAAAATACAAACATTGAGTTATCTTGTGGATTAATAAAAATTGAGAACTCATCTATTATACAGTGCAGGTTCGTTTTGCTGCCAATTATGAGGTTCGTTTATGAAGTATAAATTCGTAACATAAGATACATTTAATTATTTTATTAGTTAATACATAATGAAGAAAACAATATTTAGTGTGTATTACTTTAGATTCGACTGCATTACTTTAGATTCGACTACATTACTTTAGATTCGGCTGCATTACTTTAGATTCGATTACATTACTTTAGATTCGACTGTATTACTTTAAATTCGACTGCATTACTTTAGATTCGACTGTATTACTTTAGATTCGGCTGCATTACTTTAGATTCGATTACATTATTTTAGATTCGACTGTATTACTTTAGATTCGACTGCATTACTTTAGATTCGACTACATAACTCTAGATCCAAGTGTGTTGCTCTAGACTCGACTGTATTTCTCTAGATTCGACTTATTGCTTTAGATTAGATTGGATTGTTGTAGATTCGACTGCACTGCCTTATATTCGACTGTACTGCTCTAGATTCAACCATATTGCTTTAGAATCCATTATATTGCTCTAGAATCAATGTTCACTTGATTCTTATAAGTTCACTAAGGAAAAGGATAAAAAAAAATAATAATAACAGTTCATAATTTTTTGTTTGTTTTCTCTTCCATGATCTTTATATATGCCAGTTTCATGATCAGAAGTGTCTCGTGCACATAACAAAAAGTACTAGAATTTTAGGGAACATATAAATCACGTTAAGTCTAGAGTCTTTGTACAAACATAAATAATTTTCAGTGATCAAAGGTGGTTTATTATATGACCTAATAATTATATATGTATGTTACTAGAAAATTAACTGTTCGTGAAAGGGACCGTGATTTACTTACATATAGTTTTTATTTTGGCGTTGTCTGTTTCAAATTAACATATATTCAATGAAGTTCCTTATGTGAGGAGATCACGAGAAAACTTTCTGAAATACAGAGATTTGGTTTTATATATTGTTATTACCTAATGTATCCAAATTTTAGTAACTTCCGCGGTCGAACTCGGTACGTCTCAAACATCAAGCGAGTACTCCATCATCTGAGTTAAAATGTTAAGC